CACCCACACCCACACCCACACCCACACCCACACCCACACCCACACCCACACCCTCATCCACACCCTTCATTATTCTACGTTTGTTTGTGACAATGTGTGCGTGTAGGTGTAGGTATTCGTTTGATGTAAATCCACACCCACACCCACGTCCCAAACTGTCATTATATTATTCAAAATTAAATCAATAAAAGAATGGAGACTGGTCTCTTCTGAAACGCTTTATTTTTGCCTTTCGAATTTGCTTTCTTTTGATGGATGTGTGCTTTAAAGGACAGAAAAAGTTTTTTTTCTGTTCTTTCTTTAGTGGAATAAAAAAAAGTTGCCGCTTGCATAATGATCACAACCACGAAAATACCAAGTAACGAACACAGAGAAGTAAAAAGAAAAAGGAATAGTTTTTTCAATGTGCGATATTATCTTGTAGGTAAATATTTATAAGACGATGGATACATGTAAACGATAAATTTCATACGATACAAGCGTATTATTATTTTTGTTATTTACATGACTGAAAATCACGAGCCATTTATTGCTGTTTGGCTTGATTCTAATAATGCCATTCCATGTCATGAATCTTTTCACCGAAAGCCTCAATTAAGTTCAATAATCAATATTAACATAAAATTCAGCGATTCCGATGAATGTTTAGATTATATGAAAACTATTCAAACAGAAAATATTTTTTTTATTACATCAGGTTCACTTGGAGAAAATATTGTGCCAATTATTTATCATCTTCCACAATTATTATATATTTATATATATTGTTCAAACAAAGTTAAACATGAAGAATGGGCTAATAATGAAAATTATGCAGCAAAAATTCGTGGTGTATTCATTGATATTGATTTACTTTTGGCTAAAATAAATGATGATGTTAAATTAGAATTAAAAAATATGTTACCTTTGAATATATTTCAAAAATATGACGATTTCAAATTAAAAGAAATGACTATAAAAGATTTAAGTAGTCAAAGTGCACAATTCATGTGGTTTCAATTATTAATTAATACTTTAATTCAAGGGGTCTATACTCAAGATGCGAAAGATGATATGTTCCATGAGTGTGTGCAACAATACGATAAGAATGAAATTGAACTTCAAACAATCATAGACTTTTATAATAACTATACACTTGAACAAGCTATATCATGGTATACTAGAAATTGTTTTCTATATCGTTTGCTTAACAAAGCATTTCGAATACAAAATATTGATTTCATTTATAAATTTCGATTTTTCATCAAAGATTTATACGATCAAATAAAAGATATTTGGTTAAATCAAAACAAAAATTCTTCTTTTATCAAAGTTTATCGTGGACAATTTATGCGACATGATGAGTTAGAGAAGCTAAAAGAATATATTGGCCAATTAATTTCTATCAATGCGTTTTTTTCTACAACATTATTGAGTTCAGTTGCCATAGACTTTACTGGTAATGGTTCACAACGACCAGACTATGAATCTGTATTTTTTGAGATAAATGTCGATTGTACTTCAACAAGCAAGTCATTTGCTAATATACAGAATCATAGTTTTATCAAAGATGAAAATGAAATATTATTTTGTGTTGGAACAGTATTTCGAATTATATCTGTTGAAGATTATGATAATGTGTGGCATGTGATTTTACAAACGAGTAATGATGAAAATATTGAATTGAAAGAACTTCTTGAACATTTTAGTAAAACTGTTGTGGAAGAAAAACCTACCTTATTTGCTTTGGCAGATTTGTTACTAGAGATGGGTGAATATGATAAAGCGCAACATTTTGCTCAGTTGTTTATCAATGAATTAGAATCAGCTGGTCAGCAACAATATATCAGCACCGTTCAAAGTACTATTGGCTTACTCGATTGCCACAAAGGAAATTATCAGAAAGCATTGAAAATTTTTGAAACAGCATTGATAATGGCATTGCAGGAGGACAGAAGTGAATTATTACTAGATGATCTAAATGCAAGTCAACATAATCTTGGTATAATATATAATAACATTGCAATTATCTATTCTCATATAGAGAAATATAGTGAAGCAATGACTTTTTTAAACAAAGCAATTAATCTAATTGATAACAATCACATTCATATCGCCACCATATGGTGTAATATTGCAATGGTATATTGTCGCACATGTGAATACCAAGCAGCTCTTGCTTACTGTGAAAAATCAATGACACTAGAACATAGGGAGTTACCAAGAAAACATCCAATATTAGCAAGCACTCATATTATAATGGGTATGATTCATCATGAAATGGGACATTATGATGATGCATTAAAATGCTATGAAAAAGCCTCTGAGATTCATCGAAATGCTCTGGCGTCTGATCATCCATTTGAAGCTATTGCGCAAGCAAATATTGGAATGATTTACATTGATAAGGGTGATTTTCAATCAGCCATAGAAATAACCAATAGAGCGCTAACAGCATTTGCAAAACTTGAAAATCATCCAACTTTGGCAGTTATGTACAGTAATCTAGGTCTCGCTTATTTGCGTTGCAATAATTATTCAATGGCTGAAGAAAATTTTGAAAAGGCACTACAAATAGAACTCGTTTCATTACCTGAAGATCATTTAAGTATTGCAGCATCTTATAACAATCTTGGAGCTGTCTATTTTGACGAAGATAACTATAATATGGCATTAGAAAATTATAATAAAGCTCTCGAAATACAACTTCGATGTTTCCCAACAAAACTCAATCATGATATTGCATTATCGTATAATAATATTGGTTCTGCATATTTTCGACTTGAACAGTATTCATTAGCTTTGGAAGACTTTGAAAGAGCTTTGACAATCATGAAGAAATGCTTGCCAGTAGATCATTTCGATTTTTCCCTGATATATAATAATATGGGTTTAATTTACGCTGCTAATGAAGAGCATATGAAAGCACTGGATAATTATAACAAAGCGCTGGATATAATAAAGGTAGAAGATCATCCATTTATGGCGAGGACGTACTTAAATATCGGAGACATCCATCGAATGACAGATCACAATGACCTTGCACTAGAAGCCTACAAAAAGTCTCTGGAAATTCAATTTAAATGCTCAACACAAAACAGTCAAGATCTGTTGAGAACGTACAATGTTCTGACTGTTGTTTATAATGATCTAACTGACAAGGAAATGTCTTTAAAATATTATAAAAAATTTCTTGAGTATCTTTTAATTGAAAGACCATTGGATTTCGACGAGCATTTGACGGCATACAAAAATATTGCTGATTTACTATTTATAACTCATGATCTAACAGCAGCAATTAAACATTATAAAAAGGCAATGGAAGCATCACAGAAAACATGCTCTCCGTGTCCAGAAACGATAAAGAATATACAGGATATGATTGATTTGTTGATATTGACTGTACCCATTTCTCATTCTACCGAAGAACCAGATACTGCAAACGATTAGAAAAGATTTATTACTTTGTAATCATGTTCGTACCATAGATAGGACCGATGAGAACAATGAACGGCTGATATAATACAAGATTGGTGAGGGCGTGGGTGTGGTTGTGTGGGTGTGGGTGTGGGGTGGGGGTGTGGTTGTAGGGGGAATGGGGAGAGGGAGTGGGAGCGAGTCAAGGGGGGGGT